CTCCTCCCCCCCCTGGGGCTCTGTCCCACCAAAAAAGGAAAGAGACAGCTGAGAGCCGACTGTGGGGTTTGGGAAAACACTATGTCATCAGCTGGCCCAGTGCCTATGATCCATCCGGCTGCTAGAGATTCCCCTCCCCTGGGCAAGTCCCATTTTTTTTTTAAAGGAAAACAAAAACTAGATTTTTGGGAAGCAATGAAACACCCATCTGAGTCCTACCACCAGAGCTCCTGGCTGAATGGCTTATAGCTCAGCCAATCGTAGTGGCTCAGGATGCTTAAAAGAGCTGGCGCGGAGAAAGGCTGGGAAGAACTCACAGGGAGACCCACAGACACATAGACACGGGAGAGAGAGGAGGAGAAAGACAGAAACAAAGGCACGGCGGAAGGAGGCAGAGAGAGGACAGGCACAGAAGCGAAGCCAGACAGAGTCTGAGGGAGTGCAAAGGGAGAGGCCAAAGAAGCTACAGAAGACACAGGCAGGGAGAAACAAAGATCCGGGAGAGGAGGGTGTGGGAGAGTTTGGAGGAACCAGACCACTAGGCACCTCTCCTAAGCCTAAGGGCCAAGTTTTCTCCATCTCCTCTGAAGGTCCCCAGACCCTCTGAAAATTCTGCCTCTGACCCTGGCTGGGGTCCGAGCCCCCAAGCTGCAGAGAGGAGTTTTCCAAAGCCAGGGCGGGGAGGACTTGGTGCCCAGACGGCCTCAGTCCCTCCCAGCTTCAGCACCAGTGCCATGTCCCGGACGGACCCGCATCCCGGGAGGGGCTTGGCGGAGTGCTGCCTGTGGGGAATCCAACCCCGCCTGCTGCTCCCCAGCGTGCCCGTCTCCGAGCTGCTTCTGCTGCTGCTGGCCTCCCTCCTGCCCTCAGCCTGGCCGGCCAGCCCCCTCCCACGGGAGGAGGAGATAGTGTTTCCAGAGAAGCTCAACGACAGTGTCCTGCCTGGTTTGGACACCCCTGCCAGGCTGTTGTACCGCTTGCCAGCCTTTGGGGAGACGCTGCTACTAGAGCTGGAGCAGGACCCCGGCGTGCGGGTGGAAGGGCTGACGGTGCAATACCTGGGCCGGGCGCCTGAGCTCCTGGGCGGGGCAGAGCCGGGCACCTACCTCACTGGCACCATCAACGGAGATCCGGAGTCGGTGGCATCTCTGCACTGGGATGGGGGAGCTCTGTTAGGGGTGCTGCAGTATCGAGGGACCGAACTCCACATCCAGCCCCTGGAAGGAGGCACCCCTAACTCTGCTGGTGGGCCTGGGGCTCACATCCTACGCCGGAAGAGTCCTGCCAGCGGCCAGGGCCCCATTTGCAACGTCCAGGCTCCTCCCGGGAACCCCGGTTCCAGCCCACGAAGAGCCAAGGTAGGCAGCCCTGGAGTCTGTGTCCTGCAGTGTCCTCCTGCCATGTCTGTCCTACTGACCCCTATTCACCTTCTCTCCACCCACTTCCACTTCTGGCCAGCCTGCTGCTTCCCTCCCTTCTGTCTGCCTTTTCTCTTTCTACTGGCCTCCTTTCCTGGGAAGGCTCTGACTGTTCCCTGCCCCAACCCTTCTCCTAGCCAGACCGCTGATCCCAAGGGGCTTCCCAGGGTTGGGTCAGAGACTCTATGCTGGGAATGACCGCTCTCTCTCTCCACCCCGACCCTGCCTGGCCATGGCATCCTACTGGCACAGTCCCCAACAATGAGGCCCTCCTGATAGCCCCTTGGCCTTGACTCTTTTCTGGGCCCCAAATTTGATTTTCACCACCACCTAAAGGCATGAGGTTTGAGGCCCAAGAGATTGGCCTCTGGCTTCTGATGCTGTCTTCAAAATTGTTCTGGCAAACTGCAAACTAGGGCAGGAGTGGACCGGGGAGGAAAGGCATCCTGAACCCCCTTCTGGTCCGTCCCCTTCCCACATTGCGGACTGACTGCAAGGCTGCCTGAGGCTCCATCCTTTCCTCCCTCCCACTCCCAGTCTCCCCCCTTCTTCCCTTCCTTCCTCCCTCCCTCCCTCTCTAGCTTTAATCCAGACCAGACGCTCCCTCCACACCCGCCACGCTGAGATCTGGCCCTGGCCCTAGCTGCTGACTGAATTGTTCCTCCAACCACACAGGGCAGACACGTTGCAGCCCAGCCCTCTAGCCCCAGTCCTGCAGCCCCAGACACACTCAGGCATGGGGGACCCCAAAGTCCCTCCCAGAGGCAGTCCCAGCTGCTTTTCACCTCTTGGGCCCACATAGCCCTGGGACGTGGCATCCCCATCCCCTCCCCTTCTCAGAACCAGCAGATGATTTCTCAGTGTTACCACAAAAGCCCTGGGATTTGGAGTTGGGGGGGAGGCCCCACCGAGACCCATCAGGAATCCCGTGGGATGTATGTGGCTCTGGCTCTGCTGAGTTCCAGACCCAGGAAGTAAGGGAGGGGAGAAGTGATCCATGGGTCTGGGAGGCTATTTCAGGATCCTCCTCCCCTTTTTTCCTCTCCAGCGCTTTGCTTCACTGAGTAGATTTGTGGAGACCCTGGTGGTGGCAGATGACAAGATGGCGGCATTTCACGGTGCTGGGCTAAAGCGCTACCTGCTGACGGTCATGGCAGCAGCGGCCAAGGCCTTCAAGCACCCAAGCATCCGCAACCCTGTCAGCTTGGTGGTGACTCGGCTAGTGATTCTGGGGCCAGGTGAGGAAGGGCCCCAAGTAGGGCCCAGTGCCGCCCAGACCCTGCGCAGCTTCTGTGCCTGGCAGCGAGGACTCAACACCCCCGAGGACTCGGACCCTGACCACTTTGACACGGCCATTCTGTTTACCCGTCAGGTGAGGCCCCGATCAGCACCTCAGGCCATGCACTGCACAACTCCAAGAAGCACCACTGCACAGACCGTGATGTAAATGGTGCCCCTGGAGTTGTTCAACATGGTGCCTGGCCCCAGCCACACTGCCAGGGCTATCTGGGCCCTGACAGCACTGGATACGCAGTGCCCAGGTCTCCACTAATCTGGATCTCAGCTCAATGGACGCTGGTGTCTTGGTTCCTCATGTATCGTCTCTGATCTCCCTCTCCACAGGACCTGTGTGGGGTCTCTACTTGTGACACTCTAGGCATGGCTGATGTGGGCACTGTGTGTGACCCAGCTCGGAGCTGTGCTATCGTGGAGGATGATGGGCTCCAGTCAGCCTTCACTGCTGCTCATGAACTGGGTAAGTTAGGGGTGGGGTCGTGGGGCACCTGTGATGAGTGAGAGAGCTGTCAGGGGTGAGGTGAGGGGACAGTGAGCTCACCAGGGTACAAATGCAAGTCACAAGGTGTTTCTTCCTTTTCCCCAGGCCTAGGTCCAGGGCCATTACCCTTCTCTGCTCCGGATTTAGACAAACATTTAGATTTTTCTATTAAATGAGATAGTGTGTAGAAATCTACTGTGAACTGTGTGTGTGTGTTTGGAGGGGAGGTGGCACAGTACTGAGAGAGATTATTCACAAGAGTCAGTGATAGAGTGGACGGAATCAGGGCTGGGAATGTTGGCTATAAGGAAAAGTGGGTAGGGAGGGGCCATGAGTGTATCATGGGGAGAGGGGAGACAGAGCAAGGGGGGCTACATATTGAGAAGCCCTTGGAGCACCAGAAAGACATTGGGGGCAGGTTGGGATGGGGAATGGATCTGACCATCCATTACCTGCAAACGGGCTTATGATGAGCCTGCAACCCCCTGAGGGCACAGGGATGAGACCCTTGGACCCTAACAGGGCCTCTGCTCCCACAGGCCATGTCTTCAACATGCTCCATGACAACTCAAAGCCATGTGTTGGTCTGAATGGGCCTGGGAGTACCTCCCGCCATGTCATGGCTCCTGTGATGGCTCACGTGGATCCCGAGGAGCCCTGGTCCCCCTGCAGTGCCCGCTTCATCACTGACTTCCTGGACAATGGCTATGGTAAGCAGATGGCACTCCCCTTTGCCTGTGCAGGACCCAGTTCCTGCCCCGCACTGTACTTTCTCTTCTGCCGCATTTCACATAGGCCAAATTGACTCCTTCCAACGTGCCTCCTCTGCAGTGTGGGATGCGGTGAGAAATGCTGCTGCCTTTGTGTGGTTCCCACTTCCTCTCAGAATAAATAGCACAGCTACAGGAGGCAAGTTTTGGCTCAATAGAATTAGAACTGACCTTCTAAGGGCCACAAGTGTCCAACGCTGCAAAGGGCTAGTTGTGAAAGAGGTGACTGCCTTGTCACTTGAGGTGTGCATGCCTAGCAGTATGACTATGATGGGGCAGGGCTGTTGATGAGAAGCAGACTCAGGAATTCTGTAGCTGGTTAGAATAGGTAGGAAGATCTAGTGCTTTGAGTTCCTGTCCTGATCCTGTTTTTTAGATGTGTGTAGATGTGTGACTGTAAGTTACCTCACTTCTGTGTAGCTGATCTGTAAAATATGCATAATAATGGTAACCACCTCATAGGCTTTGGCCATGATTAAACACGATACTGTCGGTCGAGCATTTAGCCAATGTTCATCACATAATAAGCATTGAATAGATTTAGCTGCTATTTAAAGCTTCTTCCAGCCCTAGAATTTGGATTTTAGGATCTGTCAGGCCCTGGGGAGCCCAAGGCTGGCACCCCTTCAACCTATTGGTGACTTCACACCCCTGCCTCTTTTCCCAGGGCACTGTCTCTTAGACAAGCCAGAGGCTCCCCTGCATCTGCCTGTGACTTTCCCCGGCAAGGACTACGATGCTGACCGCCAATGCCAGCTGACCTTTGGGCCTGACTCACGCCATTGTCCGCAGCTGCCGCCGCCCTGTGCTGCCCTCTGGTGCTCTGGCCATCTCAATGGCCACTCCATGTGCCAGACCAAGCATTCACCCTGGGCTGATGGTACCCCCTGTGGGCCCGCACAGGCCTGTATGGGTGGCCGCTGCCTCCACGTGGACCAGCTCCAGGACTTCAATGTGAGATCCCAAGGGCAGGGGAGGGGCAGAGGGCCTGGGGGAGGAGGGAGTGGCCCTGAGCCCAAGAGAGTATATTCATCCCACGCTTCCATTCTGTCCTTCTGCAGATCCCACAGGCTGGTGGCTGGGGCCCCTGGGGATCATGGGGTGACTGCTCTCGGAGCTGTGGAGGTGGTGTCCAGTTCTCTTCCCGGGACTGCACACGGCCCATCCCCCGGAATGGCGGCAAGTACTGTGAGGGCCGCCATACCCGCTTTCGTTCCTGCAATACCCAGGACTGCCCAACTGGCTCAGGTGAGGAGTGGGGGGGATGGGAGCCTTGGGAGGGACTGGTAGGACGGAAAGGACTGTCCCTTGAGTTCAGGGACCAAGGAGGTGTTGACTGTCCCTGCTGTTGAGGGGAATGACTTTACCCTTCAGGAAAGTGACAGGTAGTCTGTGGGGGAGAGAGCTGCCATACTGTCTGGAGGTCTGAGAGGCTAGGTGGAGGGTCTGGTGGGGCAGCGTGAGGAGAGAGGGGCTCTGACTGTCCATTTTAACCCTACAGCACTGACCTTCCGTGAAGAGCAGTGTGCTGCCTACAACCACCGCACTGACCTCTTCAAGAACTTCCCAGGGCCCATGGACTGGGTTCCTCGCTACACAGGTGTGGCGCCCCGGGACCAGTGCAAACTCACCTGCCAGGCCCGGGCACTGGGCTACTACTATGTGCTGGAGCCACGGGTGAGAACCAGGATGCCCCAGGGCCCTGTCTAAGCTCACACACTGCCCAACCCGCCCTCTACTTTCTGATGGCAGAGATCCAAAGCAGCACTACTGCTGGCGTTCCCACAGCCATGCCCGGGGTCCACTCAGACTTCTCTGGCCGTGGGTATTTAGAAAACTAGCCCTGGACACTGGATAAGTTGCCAATCAGGCAGCTCTAGCCTGTCGCATTTCCCTTGGTTTCTTTCCCTCTCTCTCCCCCATCTTCCAGTGCTCCGTTTTGTGAGAATGGAAGTGTGTGGACTTTTGGGCCCTTCTCTGACCCCCTTCCCATGGGCTCCTCTGGCAAATTACAGTGGTGGCCTCATTGAGCTCATGGATGGCCAGTCCCTCACTGGACAGGCATCCTGGAGACAGCAATGTCCCCGCAACCCCTCTATGTGATAGGGCCCTGGGTTGAGGCTGAAGAAAGCACAAGCCTAGCAGTTTTGCATCCTTCACCCCTGTCCTGGGGAGAATGCCTGCAGGTTGACTGCCCTCTAGTGTCCAGCTGGGACGGTACAACCAAGATTTAGGGCTTGGGGTTGGGACTCAGACCTGCAATTCCCGTGTTGGCTTCTCTGCTTGCCAGCTGTGTAACCTTTGGGCAAGCTCCTAATCTTTCTAAACCTCAGTGTTCCATCTCTACAAACCTCAAATAGTGGTTGTGAGATTTATATAGCACTTAGCACAGTGCCTAATTCATAGTGAGTGCTCTGAAAATGGTGGCTTTTATGATTATCATCCCTTACGGTGGCTGGGGTTCCCTCCACACTCCATCCACATCCCCTCCCTCGCCCAACTTTTCTGGCATCCCCTCTCTCACCCAACTTTTCTGGCATCCCCTCCCTGATGGGATATGGGTCTTGTTCGACTTACCAACCCGTTTTGACTAAGGAAGACCCTTTCATCGCTCCCTCTCTTCTCCTCAGGTGGTAGATGGGACCCCCTGTTCTCCAGACAGCTCCTCAGTCTGTGTCCAGGGCCGCTGCATCCATGCCGGCTGTGACCGCGTCATTGGCTCCAAAAAGAAATTTGACAAGTGCATGGTGTGCGGTGGGGATGGTTCTAGCTGCAGCAAGCAGTCTGGCTCCTTCAGAAAATTCAGGTTCATTCACTATTTATTTCCTCCTCCCACCTTCCTGGACGCTGTTCTGGGCCCTGGGGATACAGAGGTGAGCTCAACACTGCTACTCCTCTCAAGGAGCTGACGTACAGTCTAGTAGCGGAGACAGATGAGTTCACAGTTACAGCGCAGTGTCCCACCTGCTCAAAGGTGTCAGCCTGGGCTGCTGTGAGGGCACTTGTGGGCATCAGGGAAGGCTTCCCAGGAGGTGACCTCCCTTCTGGAGGAAGAATAAGAATTGGGCAGGCACCAAGGAGGCGGGGCTTAGATGGGCACCTCAGTAAGGGGGCAGGAGGTGTAAAGGCCCAGAGAGGAGGAAGGAGGGCACATTTGCATGTAGCTCAGACCTAGGCTGGACAGCTCAAGTAGGTCTGGGGAGACAACCTTCTACACACATACAATCATAACAAACACAGCTCAGACAGAAAGCCTGAGAGGATTCAGGGAGATGCTGAGTTCTTCTCTACTCCTTGCACACAGGTACGGATACAACGATGTGGTCACCATCCCCGCAGGGGCCACCCACATCCTGGTCCGGCAGCAGGGTACCCCTGGTGTGCGGAGCCTCTACCTGGCCCTGAAGCTCCCCGATGGCTCCTATGCCCTCAATGGTGAATACACGCTGATACCCTCCCCCACAGACGTGGTCCTGCCCGGGGCAGTCAGCTTGCGCTACAGCGGGGCCACTGCAGCCTCGGAGACACTGTCCGGCCACGGGCCCCTGGCTCAGCCCTTGACGCTGCAGGTCCTGGTGGCTGGCAACCCTCAGAACGTACGCCTCCGCTACAGCTTCTTTGTGCCCTGGCCCGCCCCTTCAACGCCACGCCCCCCTCCCCAGGACTGGCTGCACCGCAAGGCACAGATTCTGGAGATCCTCCGGCGGCGCTCCTGGGTGGGCAGGAAATAACCTCACCGTCCCGGATGCCCTTTCTGGGCACCGGGGCCTCGGACTTGGCTGGGAGAATGAGGGGGCTCGGCAGCTGCCTCGCACCGAGACACAGTTGGGGAGGGGCTGTGAGGTGAGCCCACCCCTCCTCTCTGCCCTACCGAGCAGGCTGGCCCTGCCCGGGTTTCCTGCCCTGGATGGCTGGTGGATGGAAGGGGCTGGGAGATAGTCCCCTATCTAAACTGCCCCCTCTGCCCTGCTGGTCACAGGAGGGAGGGGGAAGGCAGGGTAGACCCCGGTTGTATTTATTTAGTATTTATTCACTTTTATTTAGCACCAGGGAAGGGGATGAGGGCTAGCTAGGGTCCTGGGGAAACTGACCCCCTGCCCTCGTAGCCCTCACCCTGTCTAGGAAATCCAGGGTGGTGGTGATAGGCGTAAGTGATCTGTGTGTGTGTGTGTGTGTGTGTGTGTGTGTGTGTGTGTGAGAGAGAGAAGATTGTGTGTGTGTGTGTGTGTGTGTGTGTGTGTGTGAGGTTCCTCCTGCCTAGCTTTCCTCTCCCTGAATTTTCTTTTCTGGGAGAGGAAGAGTCAAGGGTAGGATAGGCCTTCAGGGAGTAAGGGATTATCATATTTTTAAATATAAATTGAATTCTGCTATTTATGTGCTCCTTTTGGAGTCAGACAGATGTGGGTTGCGCCCTGGCTCCACATCTCTGAACACTAGTTTCCTCATTTGACAATAATAATACCTCCCTCGGAAATTTGTTATAAGGATTAATGTAAATAAAGAACTAGCATAATGCCTAGCACTTGGTAAGTGCTCAACAAATGTCAGCTGCTGTCAGTTATTATTATCACCACCTTACCGTCCTCGGCTCCACCGTCCATGGAGTCTGCAGTGCATTTGAAGGTGGCAAGGATCTGCGTCAGGGGTGCCTGCCCTTGTCCCCCAGGCCCAATTCCTTTGGTTGGCAGAACCCTAGCCTGGATTTTGAAGGACTGTCAGAGGAAGGACAATTCTGTCCCTGATCTCTGGAGGGTCCCAACCACATGGAGGCGTAATAAACACTCGGCCACAAGCACAATTGACAAGAACACAAATGTGAAAGATAAGTAGAACACTACCGTCAAAACAAACAAGCGCTTAGTAATGAGAGTGCTAGTTGAGGGAGTTGGGGGGGAGCTGTTATAGAAAGAGCACTGGAGCGGGAAGCAATGCGTCTGAATCTCAGTTGGGGTTCAGCATCTTCCTAGCTGGTAGTGGTGGGTAAGTCACGGATGCTGGGCCTTAGGTTGCTCATGTGTGTAATGGGGCTAAAACATACCTGTTCCCACAGGGTTGTTCTGAACAAATGTTACAATATTTGCAAAATAGTGAAGGCTGTACCCGTGTGAGAAAATAGTGAAGGCTACACCCATGTGAGAGGTTATCCTTATGACTATGGAGTGACTGGTACAGGGTCCCCAGAATCAACCAGTGTAAACCCAGCAGACTTCTTTGAAGATGTGATGTTAGAATGGAATTTAATAAGAGGAGTAGGGGATAGTCAGGAGGGCAGAAAAAAAAAGCACGGAGAGGGAGCTGAGGTGAGGGGGAGCCAGGTGTTCAGTGGTGGCGGAAATCAGTTCTACTTTTCTGTCTGAGCAGGTGACTCTGCTTAAGGGAACAGGGTTGGGAAAGGGCGGCAGGTGGACCCTGCAAGAATTTAGAGTCTTGACTGGCAGTAGCAGGACTGCTAGGGATTGGAGAAGGGTTGAATGTGGAGGTGAGGGAGGAGCTATAGGTAAAGAAGACCCCGAGGAGGGAGTGGAAGAGGGGGAAATGGGGGAACTAGAGGTGCTTCACTCCGCTGTAGTAGCTCTTAGCTGGGCTGCCCAATACTGCTCGGAATATAGTGCTGGGACTAGGGGATTAAGGCAAGCCATGGAGAGTGTAGCAGTTGTGTGCACTCTGCTCACTGGGGCTGGGCTTCGCTGCTCAAGTTCTGTACGAGGCAGCGCCTTACACAGTGCCCCGGACTTTGTACCACCAAGTATGGCACTTACTCCCTTGGCAGCACTGGGAACAGGGCAGCCCCCTACTCTGCTCGGCCTCTTTTCTTCCGTATGCATGGCCCCCACTGCTGTGTTTGGGCCCAGGCCCTTCCTCCTGTCCTCCTACCAACCAGGCTAGAGGAGGGAGAAACAGGAGAGTGGGACAAGGCCAGAGCGATCTTCAACTATTTCATCTGATTAGCAAAATCGGACCACCAATAACATGTTTATAGACAGACCTTAATACTATGAGCTGATGGTACAATAAGCAGAGCTCTGTGCTAAGTAGATGTAAAGTACAAACGCAAACAATACACAAATAAAGATGCTCACTGCAGTCTGAGGGAAGGTTCTGTACTATACCTCCACAAACAGAAATATTGGATGGTACAAAGAACTGTATGATAAGGGCAGATTGAACCGTACAGAGATTGATGCCTGGGCTTAATGGGCTATGAGGGTGAAGGAGGGTGAGTCTTGGGCTGGACCTTGAGGAACAGGTAATCATGATAGCCCTTCTTACGTTTCTTTAGTGCTGATGGTAATAATTCACTTATATACATTATTTTAAGAGAAAGCTCTTTACTCACTGAGTAAGCTTCTGACTGCCATGAGGCAGTTTTTCCCAGAAAGCTACTGAGTTTAGAGGCCACCTGTGTGATTGGATGGGTGGGTGGGGGGAGGCACACAGTGAAAGAGAAGAGAAGAGAGAGCTGCTCCTCAAAGAGAATTGATGGGTATCCTGGCCCTAAATCCCTAGCAAGGCCTCACCCCTTCCTGGAATGTTCTCGCCCATACCACCCTTCCCAGACCCATGCTGTAGACTGCCTAATATCCTGATGTCAGGGGTCCAACAAGTTCTTGCTATGGATGTGGGGAGGGCATACCTCCCTCAAAGAGACAAGATGAGCTCTGACTCCTCAGTCAGCCTACTTATTGCCTTCATGGGTCTGAGCTGGGATGTGGGTGTACAAGCATGAGGAGAAACAGGAATAACAAGAAGGAAGAAAGCATGGAGACAGTTCAAGTATCTGGTCCTTAAGGGAAAAAGAACGGTGATGAGCTGGAGGAAGAAGACTCGGTGACTGCTGAGAGAGCCCCATCCCTGCAGAAGTTCAAGGAGAGATGGACAGCTATTTTATGGGATGGCAAGTGTGCCTGTGTGTTCAAGGTGGGGGAAGAGGTCGAAGCAGTAACTGTGAGTTGGGCCAGTTTCTTTAAGTTCTTTCTGTCCCTGAGATTCTCGACTTCAGTGATTAGAGCGGAGGAAATCTGGGCATTTGTCCAACCGCTATTTGTGTGGTGGGGGTGAGAGAGCCAGCATTCCTGAGGGGTGCCGTGGGACCAGCTACTCGGTTACATTTCTACTCCATCTCTGGCTCCACTTCTTTAATCTCCATAGGGCATTACAGTGTTTTGTTTTCTAGAATACCAGATTGATAGTAATTGACAAAACCAGCATCCCATTGGTCAGGACTTGTGGGGGAGGAAGGGGGAAGAAAGTAGAACTTAACGTAGTAACATTTTATTGGCTCAGAGGATGCTTCTGAGCAAGTTGAACACCCTCCCCATTGACTGACGCTGGGGGCAAGCTAAAATCATTGGCAACAAGAGTAACCAGCTGACAGCTGCAGGAAACCACCAGTTCTAAAAATGCTCAGAAAGAGGCAGATGAGGGGAGGGGGGGAACAACAATTCCGAACAACTTCCTCAGATAGGACCTTATATGGGGACAGGCCCAGAGTACTTAAGTAGCTTTAGGAAGGAAAGGGAGGGGAGGAAGTATAGATTGAAGGCATCCCTCACAGTCTTTGAGCAACCAATAACAGGCCCTACAAACCCAGTAATAAACAAATACACAAACAGTGACCCACACTGACATACACATGTCCAACTCTATAGAGATACATTAGCACATTCTCTTGATAATGTAGATGGAAATAAGCATTGAGAAGCTGAAAATGTGAGAACTGGGGCCTGAAAATGGGTCAGAGGAAATATATTAACTGACCTAATTCCCCAGTGAGAATGAATTGTTCATCCCACTTATTTGTTCAATAAATAAGCCATTTTGTTATAAACTAGAATCAAATCATTCTCTCACAGTGTCTGGAAAGGACACAGATTTTTGGAGTCAGACTGAATCTAAGCTTTGCAAGAGCCAAGATGTAATGGCATGATCTTAAATTACTTGATCTCTGTGAGCCTCAGTTTCTTTATCTGTAAAATGGGTATATTACCACCTGTGTTATGGAGAGCTTGTCAGAACTTAAGAACATAATGATGTAAATGCTTGGCCCTGGGTGTGGCTTCTAGTAAGTGTCAGAAATGCTGATTCTCTTCCCCTCAAATCTCTTCCGTTCCCTGTTCTCTTCCCACTCCTGCATTGGCCTGAGAAAATAAGTATACCAAGGAACTTTCTAGGTCAGATCTAAAATGGGCTATTTTGTAGAATTTGTGCCAAAAGTTCTAGGTTACTTTCAGGGGATAATAAAAAGGAAGACATGGTCTCTGTCCTCAGAGAGTTCATAGTCTGGTGGCTAAGACAGTCAGGTAAGACAAAGATTCCACACCTGTGTGATAGGTGCCATGATAGAAGAGGCGCATAGAATATGGGGTCAAGGAAGTGCTCCTGGAGGAGGTGTCTGCCACCCCTTCTAGAAGTAAGCTATAAGGGCTTTTGGAGAGTAGGATAGTGGTGGAAGAAAAAAGAACTTCTGCTTGCTAGGTCAGCTCCCAGGCTCTGCTCTGTTATGCAAAATCAAAGTAAAGTGAACAGACTTGAAGCTGGTGGATAATACTGTAAAGCAACTGAGTCGAGTTGGAAGGGGTAGTTTTGGGGAGAAGCTACCATCTCAGTAGAAAATGTTAAGCGGGGGAGAGAGGATTTTAAAGACATTGAGCTGTGTATGAAAATGTGCTCCTGCTTCACTCTCCCCTCCCCCATGCCTCTGATGTTTCCTTGAGAAACTAAGTAGAGATTTAAATTATGTTAAATTATTTTTTTTTATTACTAGACTGCGTTTCTTCCGTTATGTTGTGTGTCATGACTGGGCCTCTAGAGGCCCCAGGATTTATTCAGAATACAGAAAGATAGGATGTTGTGGTGGAAACCAGCATATCAGAATTTAAGGTTTCAGAAACTAGCAATTCTAGGGGATGACTAAGACCAGGATGTGGCCAGGGTGAAAAGGAGTAGAGACGAAGGTTCTTGAAAACAGGGAGCTTGCAAATGAACGTAGAGGAGTTATCAGAAGATGGTAGATAGGAGGGATAAGAAGGTGAAGGTCAGTTTTACAAGAGTAGAACACCGTGGAGGAGCAGAGGCTGAGGAAGCGTCCTCTAGAAGAACTACATTTCAATTTTCTGTATGTCTGTCTTTTCCACTACACAGTGAGATCTTTAAAACAAAACAAAAAAAATGACGGCTTTTACTTGGCTCTTACTCTGTGCTCAAAATCAGATGTATTGAATATCTGCTGTCTGCTGGCCCTTTTCCATAATTCTCACTAATTATCACAAAACCACTTAAGATGGGTTCACTGTGTGGATGAAACCCAGAGAGTGTATTGCTCAACATCACACAGCCAGTGGATTTCAAAGCTGCCACTGTATTCAAATCCAGTATTATCTAATTCTGAACCTCCACAGGCACCTCAAACTCATGAGGTCCAAAGCTTAACTTGACATCTCTACTGTTTCCCCCAAATGTGCCTCTTCTTTTTTTTTATTTTTATTTTTTCTTTTTTGCGGTACGCGGGCCTCTCACTGTTGTGGCCTCTCCCGTTGCGGAGCACAGGCTCCGGTCGCGCAGGCTCAGCAGCCATGGCTCACGGGCCCAGCCGCTCCTCGGCGTGTGGGATCCTCCCGGACCGGGGCACGAACCCGTGTCCCCTGCATCGGCAGGTGGACTCCCAACCACTGTGCCACCAGGGAAGCCCTAAATGTGCCTCTTCTAAGTTTTGTTTCTCATTAAATGTCGCCACCATCCACCCAGTGATCCACGTTGGAAATCTGGGAGTCGAGACCTCCCTGGTGGTCCAATGGTTAAGACTCTGTGGTCGCAATGCAGGGGGCCCAGGTTCTATCCCTGGTCAGGGAACTAGATCCCACATGCCACAACTAAGACCAGGCACAGCCAAATAAATTACTTACTTACTTACTTAATTCATTAATTAAAAAAAAGAAATCTGGGAGTCCTCCTGGAGTCTTCTAACTCCCTGACTTGACATATCCAGCCAATCACCAAGTCCTATTTGCCTCCTAAAAGTTCTCAAAGGTGTCCTCTTCCTTCCAGTCCCACTGATATTACCTTGTTTTGCATGAGTTTCATCTCACTCCTGGATTGCTGCGGTAACCTCCTTGATAGGTCCCTGCTTCCAGTCTTGACCACTCCAATAATGCTCCTCGTTTCCACCGGAGTAAAATTCCTAGTTCTGATCGTAGCACTCTCTGTTTAGAGCACTTTAAGGCTTTCTTCTTGCCCACAAGATAAAACTCAATCTCTTTCAATGTGGTTTATGGAGTCTTTCATTATCTGGCACCTATTTACCTCTTCAGTTTCATCGTTCACCATTCCCCTGACTCTATCGTTTAGCCTATTGATCCATTTTTTAATTTCCCCAACTCCCTAATTTCTTCCTCATTTCCAGACTTTTGCACTATGGTTTTCTGTGTCTAGAACACTATTCATCTGTTAAAAGATAATTTTCAGAAAAGGGTAAAATTATGACTCTCACACTGTTAAAGAAAAAATTATTCTGACACTTGTTAAAATGGTAAGAAAGACTTTATTCAGGACTATTGCAATAGGTGCCAAGGCTATCCCAATCAGAGAGAGATTGGGTTCAACTCTGAATACAGTTAAGGACAGGAGGATAGTTATAGCCAATGAGCAGAATGAGTCAGTAGATGGAAAATTACATCAAGAGTAGGGAGACGCTTGCTCAACCAACTTAGAATTCTTGCTAAAGGCAGGCCGGGGTGATCAGAAATTGAGGGTGAGGGGTTTCTTGCTAAACTGACTTAGCAGGATTTTTGCTAAAAATGGCTATAGGCCCAAGGATGAGGTCTATTAGAAAAGAGGGCTCAGGGGAGCCTGTCTAAAATTTGGTCAAGGAGAGAGTTTTTGTCAATACATGTATAAAAATGAACACCTGTTAAAGATTTTATTTAACTCATAAGGAAACCAGCAGATGTTATAACTCGTTAAAAAAAAAATCTCAAGAACAGACACATTTATAGATCAGAAATACAGAAATATGAAAATGGAGGCAAAATTGTTTTGTTTTGTTTTGTTTTTCCCACAATGTGGGGGGGGAGGGGAGTAGGGGGTTAATTGAACCTCTCTCAGACAGGACAGAATTTGCATGTGGATCAGTTAACCTACACAGAATTGTAAAATAGCTCCATGGAGACTGAATCTTATAAAACAGAAGGACATGCTATAGACAAGTCATTCAGGTTTCCCATGAGCCATCACTTCTTCTGGGAAACCTTTCCCAAACTTCAACTCGTGAATGAGGTGCAATGTTTAGGCTATCATATTTATCACAATATATTGTGTATAACTACCCTGACCCCCGTCACCTCCACCCCGACCCCGCACAAAAGAACATGAGCTTTTTGAGGCAGATACTGCGAGTTATTTAAGTTTCCTCAGTGTGATGATCTGCTCCTAAGTAGAAGCCGCAAGATAAAACATATTGCATATTAACGAAGCGTCCATCTTACTCTAACATCTGGGGAAACACATTCTTACATTAAAGCGGACGCTGCCCTTCCCTCCACACTCAACGTTTCCTTGTTTTATTAACCGTTTCTATTTCAAGGCCTGCGGGATACCTGGGGGATACAAAAATGCGCCAGAGCAGTCTGCAACGATGTACCCTGAGCAAGAAATAATTTTGATAATAAGTGGCACTAGGTTAAAGGGGGCGCCGCTGACACACCGGGAAAGGGGCTCAGGTCAACTTCGGGCGATAGTGAGGTCTTCCGATGCACCGGCCTCTCAGTACGTCTTGGCCCCGAGAAAGGTCCCGGTTTGACTTGATGTTTTCACAAATCTGAGGGGTGAGGGGTGAGGGGTGAGGGGTGAGGGGTGGGGGGTGGAATCCCGGGGGTGGAATCCCGTTGGAAGTCGGTCCGGTGGGGATGAGCCCCCGCGCCTTCTCCCGAGGAATCGAGCCCCGAGAAGCCTGCGCGGTAGCTTCACTCGTGCCCCACAGGCCGCGCGGTGCTCACACCCTGCGGTTCGCGGGCCGGGGCGGCTCCACCCGAGGCCCCGCCCCGTGACGCGAGGCCCCGCCCCCGAAGCTCCCGCTTCCAAGATGGCGGCAGCGGTTTCTCTCCGGCTGTCGGGGTGGTGGTGAAGACTGGCTGCAGAAGGTCAGGTGTGTGGTCTGGGGCTGGTGGGGTGAGAGGCACGGGAGAAAGGTTCGGGAAATTGGGAAGGTGAGAAGTTTTGGGTAAAGGCTGGAGACAGCCTTGAGCAGGGAGGGGGACGTAAGTGCAAGTATGGACAGAGGCCGGTGGGCTCACATTGCAAGGTAGAGCAAAAGCAGGAGGAGATTGGGGTGGGATGAGGGTGCTCCGAAACAACTGGGCTGTAAGCCCCTGCAGAGCGCTGACCACGCCCCTCAAGGTGAGCTAGCCCAGGTACCTCTGACAGGTTCTGCCCAGCCCTCCCTCTCCCTATCTCATTTCACCAGTAACCCCTGATCCCCACCTCCGATAGGACCGGGGAAATGTAGACGAAGGTAGGGGATGCTACCCCCATCCTATTCCCCGCCGCGCTCCGAGGTTGTTTGCATGCAGCTCCCAGGTGGTCACGCTCCCCGCACCTGCGGAGCTGGCTCGCAGAAACGTGAAGAACGGAAAGGAGCCAGTTTCCTCCGCCTCCCTGGGTTCTCTTGAAGCCACTCCATAGTCCTGTTAAGACTGCCTCACCCCCTGGCGAAAGTAAGATCTCCGATAGCTTCGCTTTCCCCACTCTCCAAACAGGTTGGTCCTGCTGGGGTGGAGGATCGTTAAGTACAGAGTGAATCTGACACACTAGAGGGTTACGGGGGAGAGGCCAGGGACCTAGCATCTGCTGCTGCACCCCTTTTCTCTCCAACCACTTTCCCTCCCTTCCCCAGCTGGGAAACCGGCTTCACCCTGATCTTCGTGTCTGCCCCTCTGCGGGTGGCTGGCTATCCTTGACCACTTCTGTTTCAGCTGGTCCTAAGATTGCTGTTGGAGTGCTGGATGGAGCCTTTCTCTGTCCTCTGTGACATTGCCAATTTTATATAATGCCTCACATCTCTGCTCCCCCGGGACCCCGTGGAGTCCCCATGATCCTGAAGAAGACAGCTTGAACCTAGGTGAGTCTATCTCTACCCCGTCTAAAATTGGAAGGAAGGTTCTCCAGAGAATGCTCTGAAATGGCCTTGGGACGTGAATGATGTAAGCATTCTTGGGGACTGATAGTAGGTGACAGGAGTGGTTTGAGGGAGGGGTGGAGGAGAGTGAAACTTGGGCTGGAAGTGACAGATGGTAGGTCTGCTACTGGTAGCATTCTGTTTCTTTCCATACACCTGTGTGCTCCCTTCTGCGACTTCGTTCTTTTCCTCTTTACCCCTGGCACCACCTTCATCCCTGCCCAATGATCTCTTTCTGCTGGCTTGCTCTCTTCCTGCCTGCCCCAGCACTCTCCTCTCCCCCTCTCCAGACTACACCCCAGGATGCTGCGGAGGCTGCTGGAGCGACCCTGCACTCTGGCCCTGCTTGTGGGCTCCCAGCTGGCTGTCATGATGTACCTGTCGCTGGGGGGCTTCCGAAGCCTCAGCGCTCTATTTGGCCGAGAGCAGGAGCCGACATTTGACTACTCTCATCCTCATGATGTCTACAGTAACCTCAGTCACCTGCCCGGGGCCCCTGTTGCCCCAGGGGGCCCCCCAGCTCCTCAAGGTCTTCCCTACTGTCCAGAGCGATCTCCTCTCTTAGGTGAGTGCAGAAAGAAGGCAGAAGTGAAGGCGAGGCCAAGGTGTGGGGACAGGGAGGCTTGGACAGGCATAGGATGGCAGGAGTGAGTCTTAGAACAGGAGGCTCACGTAACTGGAAGGGAGGCTGAGGTTGAGATAGAATGGACTCTAAATTTGGAGTTTCGACTGGGCTCTTGGGTTGAGCCACAGCCCATTTATGGGCTCTTCTTGCCTTGGGCTAGGACTTGCTTCTTTTGTAGATCACTCCTAGTTTAGTGGGTTAGTTGGAAGTCCATCTGTTCTCTCCATCCCCTAACTGTAAGCTTCTAACCTTGTGAGGCAGCAGGGAGTTATGGAACCCTTAAATAAGAAGGTAGGCTAGGTAAGGAGCCTTCACCTTCCAGACTTTGCAAAGCTGTCCCAGTGATGGGGAACTCAAGGTTTTGTGAGGTTTCTGAGCAAGCCCTTGGGGGAGCTGAGCCCCAGAATAAGACTGCCAGGGACATTTCTTCTTGCCCTTCTAATCCCTGACCTTGCCATTCCGTCCCAACAGTGGGTCCTGTGTCCGTGTCCTTTAGCCCAGTGCCGTCACTGGCAGAGATTGTGGAGAGGAATCCCCGGGTGGAACCGGGGGGCCGGTACCGCCCTGCAGGGTGTGAGCCCCGGTCCCGAACAGCCATCATTGTGCCCCATCGTGCCCGGGAGCACCACCTGCGCCTGCTGCTCTACCACCTGCACCCGTTCCTGCAACGCCAGCAGCTTGCTTATGGCATCTATGTCATCCACCAGGTACCCCCAATTCCCATACCCTTCTGATTTTCTTTCTTATAAGGAAGCCTCAAACAAATTCCACTCCACTCTCATATAATGGATCCCTGAAATAATTTTAAGAGGGTCAGACAAAAAAAAAAAAGAGGGTCAGACTGTTGAATGTGAGAAAGCAGGGGGCTTCCCTGGTGGGGCAGTGGTTAACAATCTGCCTGCCAATGCAGGGGACACAGGTTCGAGCCCTGTCCGGGAAGACCCCACATGCCACAGAGCAGCTAAGCCCGTGCACCACAACTACTGAGCCTGCACTCTAGAGCCCACAAGCCACAACTACTGAGCCCGCGCGCCTAGAGCCCATGCTCCGCAACAAGAGAAGCCACCGCGACAAAGCGTAGCCCCCGCTCACCGCAACTAGAGAAAGCCTGAGTGCAGCAACAAAGACCCAATGCAGCCCCCCCTCCAAAAAAAAAAAAATACACACACACACACACACACACACACACATATATAAAAAGAAAGCAGCAGCTGGCACTGCTCTGCCAACGTGTTATTCCCATACTTCTCCTTAAGGATATTCCCACTGTCCTATAATCTTCCATGATTTTTCTGTTCTTGAATTTGGAAGTGGATAGATTTGGGCTAAAATTCTGGGTTCTGCCACTTGTTCCATACGTCACCTTGAGCAAGATACCCAGCCTGCTAAAATGAGGCAAAGAGTGATCACTAACATACCACCTGTTCCACATGGTTTGTTTGTTGTCGGGATTAAATGCTAAACAGCAGCATGTAAGTGTCAGGCTGATGCTCAAAAAATTTTTTGTTGAATGGAAAAACAAAGAAGTTGTCTTTCTGTTCATTCTCCTTGTCCCATATCCCACTTTGATTTCCCTCTTTTCACTTTTATGCTTCTTTTCCATGCTACCTATAGACCTAGTTTGGTCCTCCACCATTATCTTCCAGGCCGGAAATGGAACATTTAACAGGGCAAAGCTGCTGAATGTTGGGGTGCGGGAGGCCCTGCGTGATGAAGAATGGGACTGCTTGTTCTTGCATGATGTGGACCTCTTGCCAGAGAACGACCACAATCTGTATGTGTGTGACCCCCGAGGACCCCGGCATGTTGCTGTTGCCATGAACAAGTTTGGATACAGGTAGAGGGCATGAGAGGGTACTGGAAGCAGGAATTCCACCACCCAGTGGAAGAAGGGGGGATGGCCCCCCAGAAGACTTGTGGAATCCAAGGATGTTTCTCTCCCCAGCCTCCCGTACCCCCAGTACTTTGGAGGGGTCTCGGCGCTCACTCCTGACCAGTATCTGAAGATGAATGGCTTCCCCAATGAATACTGGGGCTGGGGTGGTGAGGATGATGACATTGCTACCAGGTCAGACTTCCTGCCACCACCTCCCTCCCTAACCCCAGCCTGGATCACTGTCCTGTGAGACCACCCCTAGCCATAGCCCTTTACCACTAACTTTTAGCTCCCTGGTGCTGCACTGTGCCCATTCCTCTCCCTGAGTCTTTTCAGTCTACCCCGGTCAGGCTTTGCATGCTGCTCCCCATTCTTTTATCCTTCAGTCTCTTAGATCTGGTTAGTAATGTCCCTGGGAGAGATCAGATCAGTAGGCTATAGTATCACGGAATTCCGGAGCTGGAAAGGGGCCTAGAGACAGTTTAGTCCTGCCTCTGCTAGGGTTGCATCCAAACCACACTTCCTTTCAGGGCTGGGAGAGGAGAGGAGAGGCTCCACATAGCCCAGAGCCACTATTTTTTTTTTAAAAGCCTGTGCCGTTGGCATGCCGCCAACTTATTTTTAGCATGTGAAACATTTTGACCTTCAGCCTCAGCTGACCCAATTTCCTATCTGTCATTTGACTATTTGGGCTTGATACGCTGGACCCACTGCTTCTCCTCCCCCTTTGTCCTCTGATATGACATCTCTATGAATTCTTGTCTTCTGTATGTGTGTAAAGCACCCAGCAATTTCTAAATGTATGTATTCTTTCAGTACCTTCCCAGGCTATCTTCACTTCTTGCTTCTGTGTGTCGGAGTGGGAGTTTCTTTCTTTCCAGGTCCTGATTACTTGGTTCCACTCTTTTCTTAATGTGGGTGGTGGGTAGGGGATGTGGCAGAGCTGAGGCAGCTTAGCTACTCGTCTAAATGAGAATTGCTGAGCTTGGGTCTGTGACTCCCAGTCTTGCCCTCTCTTTGTGAGAAAATGGCTCCTCTCCTGGTCCTTTCCAGACTGCAGGGGCAGCTCCTGGGAGCCATTTAGGAAGCAAAGGTGGGAGGTGCAAATCTACCTCTGCCAATTGTTTAAAGCCCCCAGGGTGCCTGGCAGTAGGCCCTGAGGATCTGGATACATCCAGGCTTTTACATTCTCTTCAGCCATTTCCTTCTCTCTGTTTGACTTTCTCTCCCCTTCCAGTTCTTGGCCCTTTTATTTGCCTAGTTAGCAATAGCTGTTCTTTGTGTAAAGAAACGTGCAATTCCATCCTTGCTAGCCTTAGCTCTTCTTGCTCACCTGTCAGCAGCTTTCTTCTGCTCTGGATCCTCCAAGTTGCCCTCACTTTTCCCATAGGGTACGCCTGGCTGGGATGAAGATCTCTCGGCCCCCCACATCTGTGGGACACTATAAGATGGTGAAGCACCGAGGAGATAAGGGCAACGAGGAAAATCCCCACAGGTAGGATGGGAGGGCTGCCTGGGAATTATTACTGGATCCTCAGGATTCTGCACCCTAGCCAGGCAGTTCCTGAAGGTTCCTAGATTCCTGGCTGTTCCTTTCCAGGTCTTAGTCTCCAATCTCTAATCCTCAGATTTGACCTCCTGGTCCGAACCCGGAATTCCTGGACTCAAGATGGGATGAACTCACTGACATACCGATTGCTGGCTCGAGAGCTGGGCCCTCTCTATACCAACATCACAGCAGACATTGGAACTGACCCTCGGGGTCCTCAGACTCCCTCTGGTCCCCGTTACCCACCTGGTTCCTCCCAGGCCTTCCGTCAGGAGATGCTGCAGCGCCGGCCCCCAGCCAGGCCCGACCCTCTGCCTGCTGCCAACCACACAGCTCCCCATGGTTCACACTGACTCCTCCTTAATCATGAAACTGAATCAGAAGAGTTGTGTTCTCCCCACCCTCAGCTCCTCACTGCTCTTAGAGGGGATGTGGGGGAAATGAACTCTACTACCGTGCTGGGGGCAGGGGCCTCTCCTCACTGCTGGACTGGAGCTGGGCTCCTCTAGCCCTGGGGGGTCCCTCTTTCTAGGGTCACCAGCCAGGGCTTATGACTGTGAATCCTTGATGTCATGATTTTCTGTGATGACTCCTAGGAGTCCCCTGCCCGTGGGGTAAGAGCAGGGCTGGACCCCAAATCCCTTCCTCTTCCATGGAGAGAAGAGTGTTCTGACTTCTCCCGGGACCTCTGTGAATATTTATTCTATTTATGGTTCCCAGGAAGTGTGTTAGGAAGCCCCTCCCAGGGTACTTTCTGCCAGTGCTGGAGTAGCTCCCTCTTCTGGACTTTGCTCAGGGGGCTGGGATTTTGATATATTTTCTAATAAAGGACTTTGTCTTGCCTCTGCTCCTGCTTTCTGTATCCTAAGCACCCTTTACCTACCTTTGCTCACCCACCCCACCCACGCCCACAGGAGACAGAACAGCCAGACCAAGCCAAGCTCCAGCACCTTTTATTTTCATCGGTGAGAGAATCCCTGTCAGCAGGGGCAGGAAGAAGTGGGGTTTGAGGATCAACTGTTAGGTTCTGTGCCCAGGACACGGGCTGCTGCCTGGCGCCCACTCTCTATACAATCATTGACAGCAACCCCCTCATACGAGGCTCCGGCCAGAGTCAAAGGCAGCTTCTGAGCAGCCAGGAATTGGGTAGCTGACTCTGGGAGGAAAAGATAAAAGGAATGTTACAGCTGGGGGTCTATTTTCATAGCTCTTCTCAGCCTAGCTGCTTTCCCAACTTACCCAGTTTTTGCCAGTGGCCTAAAGTATACTGGGGGATACAGTTCTGGGGAGAGAAGAGGGGATACAGTGAAAGATTATTACTGATGTCCCAGGCCTGGGTAGACAATGACAAATGTACTAGTCCCTGTCTCCAGTGGGTAGCTGAGGAGTGTTTACCTTGTGTAGATGGACCAAGCAGTGACTTGGTGGCTCCTTCAGTCCTAACTGAGTGGCAGCTGCTTTCTCTGCCTCCTTTTGGAACAGCTCCTGAGATAAGACACTGCCCCTGGCTTCTAATGTCCGTAACCAGGAACCTCCCAACATCACCTAAGGAGGGAATACGGCACTGACCAGCCCGGCCTTACTATGCTGGGACACAGAGGAGCTCTTGGGAAACTCCCACTAAGCAAAGCTGCCTTCTCTCACAGTCACTCTGAGGCCAGGGGGACTCCCATCCTGCTCAGGGAAAGCAACTGAGTCATACACGATTCCCAGGATGCCTGGGTCTTCTGAGGATGGCACCAAATGTCCAAATCCCTGGAGAAAAGGAAGAGACTGGGTCAGGAGGGAAGAGTTCCAGTTGAGCCCACATCTCCCCTTCTTCTGTGTCACACCTGGACAGGCAGACGAGCTCCTCGGTACTGCAGATTCACCACAGCCACAGACACAGCAGTGATGGTACTCAGAGCACGAGCCAGCGGTGCAGCCTCAGCAGGGAGCAGCTTGCTGAGCACTGGGGGAGAGCAGGCAGAGGCCTGCCTCAGGAGGCATTCACACTTCAATTTTACCAACCCTCCTTGGGATTAGACTCCCACAGGGTTGACCAGTTCAGGGGCATGGCATGGTCCTGTTGGCCCAGAGAGAAGCTACGTTGCCTCCACCTGGTTGGAGAAGGGGAGGGTGACCACCACATTACCTGAAGCTGGAATGGCACTAATAATGTGGTCAGCCTCCAGGTTGCTGTCCCCTAGAGACACCTGAGAGGAAGAAAACATTTAAAAGACACAGAGATCATGGGAATTTTGCCTTAGTTTCCCAGGCAGGAGAGAGACTGGGTGCTGACTCAGGATGAAGAGACTAAGCAGTCAGCACAAAAATCATCCCCCCATTACTCCAGGAAGTGGGCCAGACAAAAGCCAGTGGGCTACTCTGAAATGTTTAGTGGAGCTCAGTGGTTCTTTCCCCTAGCTGGGAGCCACTTATATATATTCTATCCACAGGTTTGGATCAAACAGGTCTTGGAGGAAGGTCCACAAATAAGGCCTCGGAATGTGGAGTAGCCCATATTTAAATAGCTTCTAGGACAGGAGAACAAGGAGAAGCTCCAGTCCTGCCGGCTAAAGCATTTAGACAAAGTTGGAAACTCTAACAGACAGGTTCATTACACTCCAGGGGGCTCTCCTACCTTCCAGCACCCTTCTGCTTCGAGGCTGAGCCCACAGACTGGCTGACCTCTGAGAACACTGACACCCCTACTAGTCAGGTGGGTGTTAAGGGCCTGAGGCAATGTCTCCAGCCCTGCACGGAGTGACCACTGGCTCCAGCGCTCAGCCCGAGCCTGGCGAATAAGTGCTGAGTCTGGCTGTGGGCCCCGCCCTGCAGAGGAGGAAGTAGAGAAGAATCATTAAAATAGCACCCCTTGCTTCCAGTCCCTCACTCTGGCAGTCCTTAGTATCTTCAACCCTTGAACCAACTCCCCCCTCACCTGCCCCCAGCAGCAGCCCCAGTAATATGGAACGATGGGTTTGCTCAGCTTGGAAGAGACTGGGAAAGCAGGACCTGATGCTGAGCTCACGGCTGTTGCCTGCAAACACTCCACGGCAAAGACTGTCCATGGCTAGAGACGCCACCTTAAGGGTGAGACTGGGATTGAGAGGCCAAGGAATAAGTTGCACTGATTTCCACTGTCCCTGCCTGGCAGAGAATAGGGGTGCGGTGGGGTTTGGCTGGAAAGCAGTCCCACTATTACAGAAGGATGGAAAGGAAATGAAGGCATTCACCCCCAACACTGAGTTTGGGGGGCTACTGGGTATGAAGAGAAGAGGGCATTTTCAGATGATACAGAAGAGGCCCTAGTGGTAGGTTCGAGTATGGGGATCTGCAGCTGGTTTAGGAGGGGAGGGATCTGGGGGCTTCTGGGCGGTGTTACCTCAGGACCGAGGCGGCGCTGGGCGAAACTGTGCACAGTCTCATCAGGGTCTTTGCCCCGGGGTGTAGTCAACTCCTTCAGCCCAGCCCAAAACAGAGGTTTGGAGAAGGGAGGTGAAGGGCGGAGTAGCCCCCTGCATGGAGGAAGGCACAGTGAAGAGGGAGCTCTGATTTAACCCCCCAGCTCCAGGGGGTCATTTCCATTCATTTGGCCCCTTTTGCTGGGAGGGCTGACACACTGGAACATGAGGAAATGGAAGGGATGTGAGAATGGAAGCAGACGAGAAGGATGGCAGTAAGGAGGTGATAGCATTACCTGATGCCGGAGGGCAGGGCGTGCAGGGCGCCACCTACATACAGGAACCTATTCTGGGCAGCTGCGTGGTCTCCCCGGACAGGCAACACTTCTGAGTCCAAGCCAAGCTCGGAAACCTGCTCCACACGTCCTCAGAAAGAGCATAAACTAAGGAAAGGACTGACCACCAAATCCACTTGCTCCCCTTCACTCTATTCTCTAGTGAAGGTCCCTCCACAATCTCTCCTAGGCATTCCACAAGCCGCTCACCATGAGCAGGGTCCGGGCTCCCAGGACTCCCGCCGGCCGAATTCCTCGAGGTCCAAGTTCAAAGACAGCACCATCTGGCCCTCGTACCGAGCGGATCCAGCCTCCCAGGCGCTCGCTGCCCTCCACCAATACCACCTGGGGACAAGAGGGAGACGCTGCGGCCTATAGCCGCGGCCGCGGCCGCGGCGGCGTAAAGGGTCAGGAGGGGAATGGGGCGGCGCATTCCCTCTTGCTGGAAATGGGAGAGGAGTATTAAAGGAGGCTCCCTCTGGCACGGAGGGTGGGGGCCACTCACCTTGGGAGGACAAGGGGCCCGGCTCAGGTGGTAACTAGCGGCCAAGCCGCTGATCCCTCCGCCCAGCACGACCACGGTCCGGCCCATGGTGAAGCCTGCGGGTGTGGAGGCGATACGGACAGGCTGACCAGAAGCACCCTGCTCTCCAGAAGACCTGCGGGTTCCGCGTTCCACCCCCGGCCATTCGCTGCTTTAGGGGAAACTAAGGCAGAGCCCGCGGATGGGGTGGTGGAACTGTGAGGTCCCCGCCCAGGGCCTAGGACTCACCCACGAGAGGAACGAGAAAAATGAGGGGGAAAGGAGGAGACAGAGGTCTCAACACATCATGCCGCCGGCGTCCCAGGGGCGGGGGCTGGGAGGTGGATAAGGGCCGCACCCACGCTATCTGCTAGCGCAGGACTCTGGGCTCCGACCTGCCGCCAGTCTTCTGAAGCGCTTTCCCTCCCGCCCGCCCCCACTAGGCCTAGAGTTTCAGTCCGCGGCCTCCACCGCCGCAGCACCCCCCGCCCCAGTTTTTCGGTCTCTCCGACTCTCCGTCCGCTCTATTCTCGCGGCACACTCCTGACCTTACCTTCCTGCTCCTGGATTGGTGGGTCCTGGAAGGCCCCGATCACAGTCACCAATGAAAACACTGAACCGGCAGCGGCTCCTCCTCCCGCAAAGGCGGAGGGTTGGCCCCTGTAGAAGATTGCTCCGTGGAGCTGGAGGTTAGTTAACTGGTTCGATGCCAGTTTGGAGAGAGCAGCCATATCCATCACTGACTTCCCCTCAAGGCTGGAGCGGCGAGAGCTGCGTGCTGGTTAGCACTCCCCAGCTCGAGCTTCCCAGACCCGGCTAGGCTGAGAACCCTGGAGGGAGGGCCTCATGAGCTTTGGTTGTAGGGAGAGTAGATAGGGACACTGGAGGCTGGTCCGTGGGGAGGTGGCTCCATAAACAGCTCCTTGATGTTAGCAACAGCCTGGACCTACGGGAGTTAGGGCGGCCCGGCAACGTACCGTGTTTATCAACAGGGGTCCTTGGGCATCTCGCTCTCGAGGGGGCAGCCCCCTACGCCGGCAAAACCCGTCTACCCAGTGCCTGCGCTCTAGCTCCAGGCTTCCCTACAGCTTCACGAGTCTCAAACTCGCTTTCCCTTTTCCTCCCAATGTAAACCTTCACTGCGTGGTCAAACCTTGGCATCAACGTGTCCTGGTCCGGCACCTCTATCCCCACTCCCACCCCCACGTCTTTGAGCGCGCCCCCATCTGTTCAGAGAGGGAACTGAGTCCCAGGAAGACTCCAATTCGGCCTAGTTCTGTATCTCCACCCCCTTTAAGCACAAATACAAATAAGGACATCATTTTTTCTTAATAAATTTATTCACAAAAAAAAGTGAGACTGTAGAGGGTCTGGGGGCTGTACACGGACAGGGGCCTGGGGAGCTGTGTACATGGGGCTGGGAGACAGGGGAGCCTCCAGGTAGAAGGGTATTTTTTAATAAAAAAAATAATGGGAGGTACAACCACCCCCTCCCCCCTCCCCGATTAAAAAGACACAAAAATAGACGTCTCTGAGGTAAATGGGGAGCCTGGGGGCTTGAGGGTGTTGAAAGGGTTTCACAGGTGCCAGGGCTTAAAGGGGATGTCACAGGCACCGGGGTGGCTCCTGCATCAGTTGGTAGAACAGCACGTAGCCCTCACTGGATGCCACCTGGTTTTCACTGACAGGGGAGACACTAGGAAGAAGGGAGATGGGGAAGGAGGTGTGATCATTCCTGCATATTCCCCCCTCCCCACATGATCAACCTCACAGCATCCCGGTAGTGATCAGGAAAC